TTTTTGCTATACAGCGCTGCACTAGTTTAACAGACAATTGCGCGGTCGTGCAATACGGTACATAAATAAAATTTATGTGCTTTTTTCACACAAATAGAGCTTTCTTTTGATGGTATTTGATTACCTGTGCACTTTTTATTTTTGGCACTATAAACAAAAAAAGTTTTGAAGAAAAAAAAAGTTTTTTAAAAAAACTATATTTTCTCATTTCGGTCATAAAAAATATCCAAAAAAACTAAAATTGCATCATAAATTTAGGCCAAAATGTATTCTGCTACATTTTTTGGTTAAAAAATCCCAATAAGTGTATATTGATAGCTTTGTGTGAAAGTCATAGCATCTACAAACTACAGTTGCAAGAAAAAGTATGTGAACCCCTTGGGATTTCGTGGAGTTTTGCATGAATTGGGCATAAAATGTGCTCTGAACGTCATCTAAGTCACAACAATAGAAGAAAACAGTCTGCTGAACATAATACTACACAAACATTAGATGTTGCCATGGTTTAATTGCACATAACATGTAAACATTCACAGTGCAGGGAGGAAAAAGTATGTGAGGCCCTAGCTTAATGACTTCTCCCAGAGCTAATTGGAGCCAGGAGTGAGCCAACCTTGACTCCAATCAGTGTGATGATATTGGATGTGTTGCTGACAGCTGTCCTGTCCTTAAAAAACACACACCTGTTTTGGGTTTACTGGTTTCAAGAAGCACTGTCTGATGTGAACCATGCCTCGCAGAATAGAGCTCTCAGAAGACCTACGATCAAGAATTGTTGACTTGCATGAAGCTGGAAAGGGTTACAAAAGTATCTCCAAAAGCCTTGATGTTCATGTGTCCACGGTAAGACAGACTGTCTACAAATGGAGAAAGTTTAGCACTGTTGCTACTCTCCCTAGGTGTGGTCGTCCTGTAAAAATGACTGCAAGAGCACAGTGCAGAATGCTGCATGAGGTAAAGAAGAATCCCAGAGTGTCAGCTAAAGACCTACAGAAATCTCTGGCACATGCTAACATTTTTGTTGACACATCTACAATAAGGAAAACATTAAACAAGAATGGAGTACATGGGAGGACACCACGGAGGAAGCCATTGCTGTCCAGAAAGAATATTGCAGCACGTTTGAAGTTTGCAAAAGAGCACCTGGATGTTCCACAGCACTACTGGCAAAATATACTGTGGACAGATGAAACCAAGATTGAGTTGTTTGGGAAGAACACACAACACTATGTGTGGAGAAAAAAAGGCACAGCACACCAACATCAAAACCTCATCCCCACTGTAAAACATGGCGGAGGGAGCATCATGGTTTGGGGCTGCTTTGCTGCCTCAGGGCCTGGATGGATTGTTGTCATTGATGGGAAAATGAATTCCAGAGTTTATCAAGACATTTTGCAGGAAAACGTACGACCATCTGTCCGCCAACTGAAGCTCCGCAGAGGATGGGTGATGCAACAGGACAATGACCCAAAGCATACAAGTAATTCAACAAAACAATGGCTGCAACAGCACAGAATACGCCTTCTGGAGTGGCCCAGTCAGAGTCCTGACCTCAACCCGATTGAAATGCTGTGGCATGACCTTAAGAGAGCGATTCGCACCAGACATCCCAAGAATATTGCTGCACTGAAACAGTTTTGTGAAGAGGAGTGGTCCAAAATGACTCCAGATCGTTGTGCAGGTCTGATCTGCAACTACAGGAAACGTTTGGTTGAGGTTATTGCTGCCAAAGGAGGGTCAACCAGTTATTAAGTCCAAAGGTTCACATACTTTTTCCTCCCTGCACTGTGAATGTTTACATGTTATGTGCAATTAAACCATGGCAACATCTAATGTTTGTGTAGTATTATGTTCAGCAGACTGTGTTCTTCTATTGTTGTGACTTAGATGACGTTCAGAGCACATTTTATGCCCAACTCATGCAAAACTCCACGTAATCCCAAGGGGTTCACATACATTTTCTTGCAACTGTATGATATAGATAACGGAACTTACACAGCTTATACTTTCTGACTGCTTATCACATTTCTTGAGGTGCTAAAATACCAGGATAGTGCAAACATCCCCAAATGACCCCTTTTTGGAAAGTAGGCACCCTAAGCTATCTGCTGAGAGGCATATTGAGTCCATGGAAGACTTATTTTTTTTCCACACATTCCTGGAAAATGACAAAAACTTTTTTTGTTTTTTACACAGAGTTGTAATTTAAATGATTTATTTCTCACACAAGCCATGGGTATATGTGGAATTACACCCCAAAATACATTTTGCTACTTCTAGCAAGTATGGGGATACCACATGTGTGAGACATTTTGGGAGCCTAGCCACATACAGGAGCCTGGAATCCAATCACCTCTTTGAAACCCGGAAGGTGCATAACTTCCTCATTTCACTTCCTCACTACCTATCACAGTTTCGGAGGCCCTGAAATGTCAGGATAGCACCAACCCCCGCCCCCAAATGATCTACTTTTTGAAAGTAGACACCCAAAGGAATTTAAAAAGAGGCATGGTGAGTATTTTGCAGATCTAATTTTTTCTCACAAGGTTTTGAAATATAAAAAAAGAAAAGAAAAAATACGTTTTTGTTTTCTTTCTTCATTTTCCAAAAACTTGTGGCAACAAATGAGATCTGCGAAATACTCACCATGCTTCTTATCAAATTCCTTGCGGTGTCTACTTTCCAAAAAGGGGTCATTTGGGGAGGTTTGGAGCTATCCTGGCTTTTCAGGGCCTCCGAAACTGTGATAGGTAGTCAGGAAGTGTATTGAGGAAATAAAGCCCTTTAAAAGCCTGAAGGTGCTTATTGGAGTTTGGGGTCCTGTACTTGGCTAGACTACCAAAACGTCTTTCATATGTGGTACCCCCATACTCGGGAGAAGTAGCAGAATGTATTTTGGGGAGTAATTCCACATATACCCATGGCATGTGTGAGCAGTAAAACATTTAAATTACAACTTTGTGTAAATAAAAAAATCTATTTTTTTGTTATTTTGCAAAAACTTTTGGTAAAAAAATAAATTATTCTATTGATTCAAGATGCCTCTCAGCAAATAGTTTGGGGTGTCTTCTTTCCAAAAAGGGGTCATTTTGGGGGGTGGGGGTATTTTATGTCCAGCATTAGAAGTTTATGCCACACATCATTCACTCTTCTAACCACCTGAAGATCAAGACTTTTCTGACACTTTTTGGTCACATGAAAAATATCAGTATTTTTTGCTAGGAAATTAATTTAAACCCTTTAGACATTATATTTATTATTTTTTTAAAGCAGACACCCTAGTGACTAAAATGGTGGGTGCTAAAATTTTTTATGTCACATAATACTCGCGCAGCGATTTTTCAAAAGCAAATCTTTTTTTATTTTGAATGCACAAAAACACAATATATTGGCCAATTACTTGGTAAAATATAAAAGATGATGGTATGCCAAGTAAATAGATACCAAACGTGACAAGATTTAAAACTGCTCATGCCCCGTGCAATGGCGACAAACTGTATAAGTTTTTAATATCCATAGGCAACGTTTTAAAAGCCTTTACAAGCACCTATTTTAGATTTACAGAGGAAGTCTAGTGTAAGAATTACTGCCCTTGATCTGACGTTCAGGGCGATACCTCACATGCATGATGCAACCGCTGTTTACATACCAGCATAGGGTCAACGCTCGCACACACAGGTGGGGGGGTAAGCTTTTTTATTTTGTTATTTAGATTTTTTTAAAAAATTTTACACTGTCCCTTTTTTTTGTTTTTTTCACTTTTAATGCTATCACAGGGAATGCAGATATCCCCTATAACATCAATGCGCATTATCATATATTCTTTTTTGAGAAATCTGGGGTCTATCAGACTCTAGATCTCTCCTCTGCCCTTACATTATCTAATCAAACCAGGATCGGTGTGATCACATGCTTTCCTAATTTACAAATGGAGCTGTTTATATCCTGCGAAACTGAAGTGATGAAATGCTTGTAGCTTCCAATTTCTTAGACTATAGAGATGATTGGCACCATTCTGGTCTCCAATAAGCTCTATGGTCAGATGGCAGAAACACCAGCTGCATTCTCAGGTTCCCCTGATAGCAATAGACTGCCCAAGAAGGCCATGGAAGGCAGCAAGGGAGGGGGGATCATCTCCTGCTGCTTGTAAAAGCAATCCTGCAGCTAATTAGACACTAGGATTGCTTTTACATGAAAGCTGATCGCTGGCTGAAAAAAACAATACCAGGATGATGCCTGCAGCTGTAGGCATCATTATGGTATAACCATTCAAATTCCAGGGATGTACCAGTACATCGCTGATCCTTGTTGGGTATATATGCTATGTTCTTTTTTTTTTTGTATGCAGCCTGTGGACTGAATGAAAAAAAGCAAAGAAATCTCTGCCAGAAAAAATGTGTGGTATGCCCACCATTAGAATATACCACCCTGCATCCACGCACTTCTAATGGTGGGCACACATTAGGTCACAAGGTGCCACATGCGCCAGTTCCAAGATTGTACAAATGGCTAAATAGTGGCACGCTTGAATACAAATTGGCCACGTATAAGTGGTACCCCATATGGAAAAAGGATGACACCAAGTCCCAAACTATCTTGCCACTACTCCCCATGTAGTCTGGGCATCCGGGGGGCTCCACATGACTATCTTTTCCATCGTAAATCCGAAACTTATAAGTATAGCCTGTTGCCCTCTCACAGGTCTTCTACATCTTGACCCCATATCTGGCACACTTGCTGGGGAGAAATTGTTTGAATGCAAGGCGGCCAGAAAAAATAATGAGGGGCTCTTCAACGCAGATTTTTTGCTGAGGAGTATAGACATCTGATGGGCTGAATTTTGTGGAGCTGGTCAAATTCAGGGTCATCTCGAGGACGACAGAGTGTATTGTCGTTGAAATGCATAAAAAACACATTATACTCTCATATCTATGCCTGGCCATGGCAGCAGAGAACACGGGCATATGATGAATCGGGTCGGGTCTGTAGACCAATACAACAATGCCCATGTTGAGAGTAAGGTCCATAAAAAAATTTAATTTGGAAAACCGTAATGAGTTTCCATGCGAATGGTCTGGCAAGGTTTGAATTTGGGTTGGTGGTGATAAATTGTTGTGCATATAAATTTCTTTGATCCACAATCAATGCATACAGATATTCCGTGAAAAACAGCTCCAAAAAATTAGTAGGAGTAGTTAAATTTGCTGTTTCCACCTGAATTCGGGTTGGGCAATGAATGGGGGAAGTACACGTGCTGCAGAATTTGTGGGCTGCCAGTCGGGATTTAGAAGCACATCTGGAAGGATACTAGGGGCTCTACGGGCCTGTGTGCAAATTCTTGGTGGTTGCGGGACATTACTTGTGCTCGCCACCGCAGCAGCTTGTACTACACTTATGGGACTCGCCACGTCACCAACTGATACTGCAGTGCTGGTATTATTATTATTATTATACAGGATTTATACAGCGCCAACAGTTTGCTCAGCGCTTTACAATATAATGGGAGACAATACAGCAACAATACAGTTCAATACAAGAGGGTTAGGAGGGCCTGATCCTGGGAGCTTACAATCTAAGAGGTATGTGAAAGACCAGGATGTACTAGGCCACTAGTGCTCGGCAGTTCACCAAAAGGTAGCGTGACACTAGTACTGGCACTCTGCTGCATATGAGAGTCATCAAAATTTACCGGCAAGTGCTAACAGAGATCAGACCTGATTCTGCGAACACTGCAGTTTTGTGCGCAATGTATCAAGTGACAGTGACCTACTGACACTGCACTTGCTGGGGGAGAAGGGGCTAAACGCAGGTGCTGGCAGGTGTCGGGGCTGATCCTGCTAACGCTTCATTTTTGGGGACGCTATACTAATGTGAATAGTATAGTGATGATCTGATCAAAGATATTGATCCATTCAGACACTATACTAGCAATGGAGGTTTATTGTGTATGAGCGTGTTCCTGGCAATCAAGGGGTTAAATGTGGTTACTGGTGTACTGACAGGCAATCTGACACTATCTGGGAGGGGCGTGAAAACCACGGGAGCGCAAATCAGGTATATATATGTGATTTTGCGCACCCGTGCTGTCCTGTAGCAGTATTTCTGCTATAGGGCAGTCAGGAAGCTGTTACAGAAGCTGTTTGTGTTACAGCGCTGCGTTACTTTAACTGACAATTGCGCGGTCATGCAATGCTGCAACAAAATAAAATTTACGTCCTTTTTTCCCCACAAATTGAGCTTTCTTTCGGTGGTATTTGATTGCCTGTGCGGTTTTTATTTTTTGCACTATAAAAAAAAAGTCTGACAATTTTGAGAAAAAAAACTATATTTTGGACTTTTTGCTATAAAACATGTCCAGTAAAAAAATGTAAAAATCAAATTTCATCATAAATTTCAACCAAAATGTTTTCTGCGACATGTCTTTGCTAAAAAAAATCCCCAACACGTGTAAATTAATTGGTTTACGTGAAAGTTATAGCGTGCGCGATCAGCAACTTATGGTGGCAATCAGAGACTTATGGCGGCAATCAGCGACTTATGGCGGGACTGTGGCAGACATTCTGACACTGGGGGGGGGGAACTGACTTGGGGTCACTGACATCCCCAGTGATTCCAATACAGTGATCAGTGCAAAAAAATAAAAGCACTGACACTGTACTAATGGCACTGGGGAGGAAGGGGTTAACATTTTTAGGCAATCAAAGGGTTAACTGTGTGAGGGGAGTGTGTTTTACTAGGGGGCAGGGGGTGTGTTCTTCACAGTTACACACTGTTCCGGAAAAAGCTCTGCTCTCCGGAACAGTGTGCTGGAAAGTGACAGGGAGGAGAGTTGATTTAAAAACAATGCAGCTGTGCTCCCTGTCAGCGTTTGCTGGCAATCGCCAGGCTCCGCCTCGCGCGCCCCCTACCATGTAAACAGGATGACGTTTATAAATGTGATCCTGCACACAGGGGCTGCTTTGCCGTAGTATATGTACTGTGGGCGGTCCCCTAGTGATTAAGCACCTTGTTTTACATATTGGTTCAACCAGGACTGGGAGGAGGAATACAGTTGCCAGCCCCGGGGCATTATAGCATATGCACATTTGTGGGGACCATTTGTGTAGTAGGGAGTTCAATTATTTATTTATTTATTCACTTAATTATTTATAGTCATTTTTGGGGTAGGCAGCGCAGCAATTTTATGTTTACATGCAAAACGTTTGCAGCTACTGCCCTCCTTTACGAAATGGAAATTCAAGACAAAATGGACCACATCCAAGAAACAACCCAACCATACAGTTGTGGCCAAAATTATTCAACCCCCACTGAAATTGAGTGTTTTGGCCAGTTTGACATTGCTTTTGATCATTCAGTCATCTTGCTTACATTTACATTAAAGAGGCACTTGTAGGTCAGACAAATATAAACATAACAGTTATAATGAAATAACCACAAATGTCTTTTCTGTGCTCACAGCATTATCAGTTTTATTCAACCCCCAAGTGACATTCAATCTTAGTACTTAGTACAGCATCCTTTTACAGTTATAACAGCTTTTAAACGTGAAGCATAGCTTGACACAAGTGTCTTGCAGCGATCTACGGGTATCTTCGCCCATTCTTCATGGGCAAAGGCCTCCAGTTCAGTCACATTCTTAGGCTTGCGCACTGCAACTGCTTTCTTTAAGTCCCACCAGAGGTTCTCAATCGGATTTAAGTCTGGTGACTGCGATGGCCACTCCAAAATGTTCCAGCCTTTCCTCTGCAACCATGCTCTAGTGGACTTGGAGGTATGCTTGGGATCATTGTCCTGTTGAAAGGTCCAACGTCTCCCAAGCCTCAGGTGTGTGACGGACTGCATCACGTTTCCATCCAATATCTCCTGGTACTGAAGAGAATTCATGGTACCTTGCACACGCTGAAGCTTCCCTGTACCTGCAGAAGCAAAACAGCCCCAAAGCATGATTGACCCTCCACCATGCTTCACAGTAGGCAGGTGTTCTTTTCATCATAGGCCTTGTTCTTCCTCCTCCAAACATAGCGTTGATCCATGGGCCCAAACAGTTCTAATTTTGTTTCATCAGTCCACAGAACACTATCCCACAACTTTTGTGGTTTGTCCACATGGCTTTTGGCATACTGCAGTCGACTCTTCTTATTCTTTGGAGACAGCAAGGGGGTACGCCTGGGAGTTCTGGCACGGAGGCCTTCATTACGCAGTGTGCGTCTTATTGTCTGGGCTGAAACTTCTGTACCCACATCTGACAAATCTTTTCTCAGTTCCTCAGCAGTCACACGGGGACTTCTCTCCACTCTACGCTTCAGGTAGCGCACAGCAGTCGAAGTCAGCATCTTCTTTCTGCCACGACCAGGTAGCGTTTCAACAGTGCCCTTTGCCTTGAATTTGCGAATGATGCTTCCTAAGGTGTCTCTTGGTATGTTTAACATCTTTGCAATCTTCTTATAGCCATTGCCCTTCCTGTGAAGAGAAATCACCTCTTCTCTTGTCTTCCTGGACCATTCTCTTGCCTTCACCATGTTTGTAACCACACCAGTAAATGTCTAGAAGGAGCTGAGTATCACAGTCATTTTAAAGCTGCCTAATTGGTGCTTATTATGCTTGATTGCTGCTCGGTGACATCCACAGGTGTTTTCAATACCTGATGGAAAGCACCTGTATGAACCTCTGTTCTTCAGAGTGGTAGTCTTTAAGGGGTTGAATAATTGTGGCAATGAAGAAACCACATAAGAACCATTTACTACTGTATTACATAAACAATTGATGTCATTTTAGTTGCATTTGGGTAGTTACAACGTCCTTGTAGGATTTGATTCTGAATACAATTCCAAATGTACACTATAGTCCCTAAACCCCTTTACAGCATTGGGGGTTGAATAATTTTGGCCACAACTGTAGGTAGTTCCCCTGTAAATATACTCATCTAAAGCAATGCTATATCCTTCTCACTTCTCACCCTAAACTGAGCTGTCTTGAAAAAAAATAAACCGTTAGCAATGTAACACATTTAGGCCTCCTCTTAGTTATTGCATTACATTTAGATCTTCTTGTGTGCCCTTATAAATACATTATTGTTAGGGAATTATATGCTTAAAAACAGGCAGAAGGGAAAACAAAAAGAATTCTGGAGTAAATCACTATGGGGATCACTAGCAGAAGGAAGGGGTTACCTATTCTGCTATGAAGAGCTTTAGATGAAAGGATAAGTTCACCGTTTAGACAAAAATCATAAATGCACATTTTTTGCAGGAGCCTGTAAAGCATTTACTGATCGCTGGTGTCATGCAGGTCTCCTGCAGACCTGTCAGAATATCTGCTTGCCGTACGGGATGTACAGATATTCTGTATGCAAATATCCTGACAGGGAGCTTCAATGAACTACCATGGTGCTCCACAGTGCCGTGGTAGTTCACTGAAACCTATAAACTGATAGCCACTAAGGCTGCAGGGACTTGCAGTTCATTCATTCACGGAAGTCCAAGAATGAATGATGCCGTGGGCAGAGCTCCGCACGGGTTTCAAATTTGACAGATAGTACGAGGAGACTTCTCCCTGTATTATTTGTCACAGGAAGGGTGGTGGCGACCACGGCTATGGGAACATGTTACATATTCCACCCTAAAAACAGGTGGAACATGTAACATGATCCCAAAGGTGAACTGGTCCTTTAAGTCTAGAAACGAGCAACAAAAATGGTGAAAGGTCTGAGAAATAAAATGTATCAGATTGGATGAACATAATATGTACACCTTCCAGGAAAGAAGATTATCTGGGGGACATGACTGAAACCTTTAAATACTGTATATTAAGCCCTGGTTCACACTGATGCGGTGCGGAATTTGCAGTGCTTTCAGTGAGAATTCCACACTGCATCAAAATTGCACCCCATTCATGCGAATCGCTGCGGGTGTGTATGTCAAGTTAACAACACCCCAAAATCGGTCCGCAAAATAGGGTGCGATGTGCAGAATCGGATCGCATAGGTGTAAATACCTATGCGATCCGATTCTAGTGCAGACCAAAAAAAGGGTCCTGCACGTTTTTTTGGTGCGGGAGCGGTATGATTAGAGCCATACATTGTCTCCAATAGCACCGCACACAAATTGCATGTGATTCACACAGGAATGTGGAGCGGTTCCAGTGCAAATCACATGCGATATACCGCACCGCATATATGTGAACCCAGGCTGAGGGTGTGAATATGGTTTAGAAGAGCAGTATTTTTAATATGAAGCTAAGATCAAAAACATGGGGGCATAATCTCAAACTAGTGTACGGAAAGTTCAGGGCTAATTTTAAAAAGTAATATTCTACCAAAACACAGCTAGAACAGACTTCCAACAGAAGCAAAAAGGGAGTCAACAACAAATTAAATATGCTTGGGATAAACATACTATAGAACTATACTATACAAAAAGGTTGAAAAAAAAAGGGGCACAATCTCGTTGAACCATTTGGTCTTTTTTTGCCAATCACTCTTTTATGTTCATGTTCTTACCAAAGCCTAAAGTATTATTCAAAGTCAAACATTTTTTTTAGTTTTGGATAGACTGGATATGGGTTAGAACACCTGTCAGTTTTTATTGCTTTTTCCTCCATCAGG